CTCTCTTCCAGCCGCTCCAAATGGTTTCAAGGCAAAAACACTGCAGCTGGGTGGTGCTCAGAAGCCCAGGGTGTGGGAGGGGAGGCTGACAGAGCCAGCCCAGGGGTGGCGCCTTACATCCCCCACCAGGTGCTCTAAATCCTCTCTCAGGGCGGAGGAAATGCACAGAGGTCTGGAGGCCGACTCCCAAGGCAGCTGTGTCTGCCTGCACCCCGCCATTCCGCAGCAATGCACTGTGCCTCGGAGCCTCCAGACACGGGGAGGTTTCCCTGCCAGGAAGCTCAGTGCTCTGGAAGCTGGAGCATAATTAATGCCACTTGGCAAAAGAGCGGGGCGTTCGGAATTCAGTCCTGGAGAAGAAAGAAGCCTTGCACACACCCTACAAGCAGACACAGAGCCCCTTGAGGTACTCCCTTTAAAGACTCCGGCAAATCCGATCAAGAACTTACATCTGCAGTAAACTTTTAAATGCAAAAAAAAAAAAAAAAATGTATTAGCTGTCCTCTGAGAGAGAGAGAAACAAATCCTAGCATTCGAGGAGAGGTCTATGAAAGTTGTGGTAGAAGCTCACTTTCAGGTTGCTTTCATTCGCACAGAAGAATTACATTTAAAAATGTGTTTCACTTATTAATGAGTACTTGCTGTTCGATTTATAGTGTTTCTTATTTTCATTTTCCACTGTCAGAGGGTGTATGTATTTTTAAATATTTTCATATCTCTAGCTAATACCTATAAAGTATGTTCAACTGTCAAAAAAGTTGAAACATAAAATAAGCTGATAAGGCTGAAATCTCATACATAGCACATTGTCCCCTGACCAAGTAACCTCTTTACAGGACCCAATTTCGTATATAAATTATTTTGAAAGAAAGTGTGTGTGTGTGTGTGTGTGTGTGTGTGTATACACACTTCATTTATTCTAGAGAAAGAGGAAGGCGGAGAGAGAGAGAGACAGAAACGTGGACGTAAGAGAAAAACATCAATCGGTTGCCTCCCATATGTATCCTGACCAGGGATCCAGCCCACAACCTGGGCATGTGCCCTGATAGGAATCGAACCCACAATCCTTCAGTGTTTGAATGGAACCACACTGGCCTGGCTGAAAGTATAATTTTATTATACACACAAAGTATATTTTATATACTTATTATATTAAAAGTATATTTTTATTGTGTGTGTGTGTGTGTGTGTGTGTGTGTGTAACCAAAGGGAAGGGATTACTGAATACAGAAGATAGGAAAAATAATGCTAAAATTGGAGCACTGGCTGACACTAATATTCATGCAAAACCCAAATGGAATAGGTGTTGAAATTAAAATGAAGTCATTTGACATCTCGATCACTGAAGTGGAGGTTGAAAGACGGGGAGACGGTTTCCACTCGGCCCTGATTTGCTGTGGGGCCCACATCAAGTTGTGTGATCCCCCGTCACAACATCTGCAAAATGGAGATAACACTTCCGCTACCTGCCTCCAAGAGCTGTTAGAAGATTAGATACCAAAAAAGAAAATCCTCAAAGCCCTTTGAGTTTCTCATAAATATAAGACACGCAATGTAATAAAATACCAGCACCCTCTACAAAACTCCTTGAAATAGGAACCAGATGCCAGCAATGCAACAGGGCAAATCACTCACGGGGCATCACACTGAAGAGCTGGCGGCGGCGGGCAACCCTGCCCACAGCTTCCAGTGCGAGGTGGGGAAACCAAGGCTGAAATTCAGGTCTACTCCAACCAAAGCATCCGGGAAAGGAAGTGCTGTTTCAACACAGCCAGGGGGTCGAGGAGCGGTCCTGACAAACACCACCCCAGGTCCTTGCTGAAAGGTCTAGACCGACAGGAAACAATCAAGTGACAACATTGCACTGGGAGTTTTTCACGTGTAGTCAAGTCTCACAGTCAAGTAATTGGTTCCTTGGAGAATTACGTGTAATGACCCCCTCACTGTGAGTAAAATTTAAGCACAGAATACATAAATTAGAGTATTTTTAATCAACTTGTACTGGAAACCAAAGCTGAAATGAACTGTGCAATGCCACCTTTAAAAAGACAGTTATTTTGGGGGGTTCACAGGAATTTGATAAATTACTTTATTTTTTTTAAATCCTCACCTGAGGATATTTTTACATTATCTTCAGACAGAGTGGGAGAGACAGACAGAGAGACAGAGAAACATTAACGTGAGAGAGACACATTGATTGGTTGCCACCCGCACGACCCCAGCTGGGGCCAGGGACTAACAGCAACCGAGGTACATGCCCTTGGCCGGAATCGAACCTGGGACTCTTTGGTCCACAGGCCGACGCTCTAACCACTGAACCAAACCGGCCAGGACAACAGATTATTAAATATTCATATAGCCTAAGATAGTCTAAATTATGGAAAATTTGAAATGGATCAAAGACACACATTTATTATATTATATGTTATATCAAGCACTTATTGTGGGTCATGTGTCAGATTTAAAAAAATGAGTAATGTCCTATTCCTGGTTCTCATCAAACTCAAGTCTAGCAAGGAGGAGACCCAGACACAATCAAGTAGAACACAATTGGGTTAAGAATCAAGTATAGACAGAGTGCTGAGGACGAAGATGGAGCAAGTAGTTAATTCTGCACAGAAAAGGAGAGAGGGCTGCACTTCAAGAAATATTCAGAGAGTCCGACACTTGGACAAGACCTTGCACAATAAACACGACTTCCCCACACGTGAAAGAAGGGAGAGGGCTTTCTAGATAAGGAAACAGTGGCCCATCCTCAGGGCATGTCTCAGTATGTCCTAAGTGAAGCACCGTGGAGACAACCTGGGAAGGTCTGAATTGTGGCAGAGAGAGAGAGAGAGAGAACGAATCACAGGATGATATTTCGAAAAGAAACTTGGTATTTTCTGCAATTCAAGATATGAGACTGAGGCCAAATGAACAGAGCAGGGGAGGTGTATCTGACCCAAGCACGAGACAGACTCCAGGGAAATGGACAGCGTCACTGAGGCCAGTTCTCCATGTGTAGGTGAGGCAGATAGAAAGCAGTTCGCTAAAAGCAGGGCGATAAACTTCACCGTGACTCAGGAATGGCCAGGACACGGGTTTCCGGGAGCAACAGCAGGCCCAGATTAGGTGAGTCAAACACAGTGCAGTAGACTGAATAAGGGCCTTCAAAGAATCCTAAGCCCTGGAACCTGTAAACGTTACCTCCTCTGGTAAAGACTTGGCAGACGTGCTTAAATTAAGATTTTGAGCCCTGGCCGGTTTGGCTCAGCGGTTGGAGTGTCGGCCTGCGGTACAGAGAGACCCGGGTTCGATTCCCGCTAAGGGCACGTACCTCGGTTGCAGTTTGTCCCCGGCCCTGGTTGGTCGTGCAGGTGGCAGCCACTCGATGTGTCCCTTCATGTCGATGTTTCTCTCTCTCTCTCTTCCTCTCCCTCCCTCCCGCTCTATCTGAACAAAAAATGGAAAAATGTCCTCGGGTGAGGATAAAAAAAAAGATTTTGAGACAGAACCATTATTCTGGAGTATCCCGTTGGGCCCTACGTGCGGTGACAAGTAGGCTTTCTAGAGAAGGGCAGAGGGGTTTGACCACAGACAAAGAAGGAAAAGGCAATGTGACCATGGAGGTAGATATTGGAGGGACGCAGCCACAAGCCAAGGAAGGTCAGCAGCCACCGGAAGCTAGGAGAGACAAGAAACAGATTTGCCCCTAGGCCTCTGGAGAGAGAGCATTCCAATGTTGACACCTACATTTCTGTTGTTGTTAAGTCCCCAAATTTATGATAATTTGTTATAGGAGTCATAGGAAATGAATATACACAGTGAGCAAAGAATCATCTCTCAGGTGCCCTGGGTGTCACAATCACCAGACCTAATAAAAATAATTTAGATGGAAGGCACCTCAACCATCAAGAAGAAGTTGAAGTCCAAGCTGAGGCCTTAAAGGAAGGCTAGGTTATTGAACTCAGTAACTGGCCAAAACTTAGGCAATGGAACCCTGATGAAAGCCCAGATTAGGTCAACACAAGACAGACAGAAGAACTGCAATCACGGCCACCAAATGATGACACATGGGGACAGGGAACTCACTCTGAATACGAGTGGGGAAAACAGAGATACAGCAACTCAGGGGGACATCACGGGGCCACCTAATTTCTGGTCTAGGAGATTCGCTTAATTTTAAGTGCCCACTGGACATGGGAAGAGGTAAGAGGGGGATGGAAAACATTTCCATGCATCCTGGCTCAGTCAGGACTGACTCAGACACTGCATCAGGACTAGACCATGAAATGAAAGACATCGGCCATCCATGTGTGGAAAGATTATGGAAATGAGACAGATGGGACATGGAATGCTAAAAAGTTTCAACTGTGCTCTTCAGTCCATAAGGGAAATGACTCAATGAGATCTTTTTTTGGGGAGAGTGGGAGCAGGGTAGGATTATCCACAACAGACTCTATGGCTCAGTGAGAAGGTAACTGAGCCAGCTAAGGCTGATGATGATAGAGGCCAGACAAAAAAAAATAGGGAAATGGAGGTGAATTAGAAAACTATTTAGAAGACGGGGCAGATCGCTTGAATAGGGAATGAGTAGCTGGTGGGACATGAAGGCAGCCAGTAAATGACAACAGCAATCTTTGAAGTACGTAAAAGAAAATCTGATGGTAGAAGAGAAAGAATGAGTTTGCTTTTGGCTAATACTGAGCTTAAGATACTATGGGTCATGTCAGAGATGACAGCCAGAAGTCAATGGAACTCAGATCTAAAATTCAGAATGTCAAATGTTTGAGATGTTTGAAAAAATTACCTATAATGAGCTCTTTCATTTTCTTACTCCTGATTCATCACTATGAAAGGGATCCAAAAAAAAAAAAAAGTTCCCAAACTTTTAATATCCTAAAAACAACATTTTGGAACAATACTCATACTACACACTCATAAGAAAAAACTTGCATTGGCAGCGCTTAAAAATAAAGGTATTAGAAATTTTCTAAGGAAAGGAAGAAAAACCTTACCATTAGCCATGTCCCTTTTCTGTCTGTTTTGAGGCCATCTGGTAGGATGGACAGCAGGGAACAGCTATGCATGGCTCGGGGCAGTTGAGAAGGATGCTCAGGAGGATACCAGGATGACCTGATGATGGAAAAGAAGGCATACTTTTTAAATGTGCAGAGGACATCAAGTTAGACTCTGCCTGAGCAGTAATTACAGATTTACTAAGGGAGAAAAAAGAAAAAAAAAAAAATATGTTCACTAATATAGACACCTGGGAAAAGAGACAAGGCAAAAAAAAAAAAAAAATTAATAAGGACACAGATTTACCTGGGGAAGAAAACGTATGCTATAAATAAGCTAAAGACTCTTTATCCCTCTCCACCAAAACACTCAGGTGTACAGTGCTCCATCACAGAATGCAGCTCCCCTTCTAGCCGGTAATTAATCACGGCTTGTACTAGCTGAAACGTGGAAACGGCTTGGAGCATCTGAAATTACAGATTAGACAGTCTGGGAGGGATGACATGGGGGAAGGCAGCAAGGTTTAATGTGAAGGCAGCAAAGGACTATGATATAATCTCTGTCCTCGACCAATGGGTATAAAGAGAAATAAGGTTCTTTAGCCCCATAATGAAGACCACCACAGGCAGAGGTGACAATAAAATAGCACCTTTATCTTAGTAAGTTTTTAGACTAACAAATACCTATAGTGAATAAACAAAAGACCTAGTAAAATATATGTAAATAAACAAACAAACATATGAGCAAATCAGGTCTTATTTGTAAGACCTATTATGAAAACACATCCATCTCAGTGTTTCTGTTTCAACTGTGAAGGTCATGAGACGTTCAGGCGGTACTGATATTCCAGAATGGAGGACATTATCAACAAAAGCCCCCAATTCATCACATCACCATGCATTTGCATAGTACTTATATGAATGCTGCCTTATAACATCTCGTCTGATCCCAATTAAAGCCATGCATATGTTGACTTTCCCAAATTCTCACCATGGGTTCATGCCACATGTTTTTATTTAGTTCCTACTATGTAAATAATTCTGAGGGGGAGTTAAAAACTGATTAAGTGAAAAATATAAAACATAGGAATATAAAAATGAAAAGCATAACACGGAAATTTTAAAAATGGACCAGTAGCAGGTATTCTTACAAGGCAAGAAATGAGAACTAGAGAAAAGAAGGGTTATGGGCTTTATGTGGAGGAGTATAGATGAAGGAAAACAGGAAGATATGAACTGAAGTGCATGAGTAACGGATGAAAGACACATGAGTGGAAATGTGGGAAGAGGAAATTCCAAAGAATTGGAACAAAAGAAGTTAAGAAAGAGCCCATGTGATGGAAGTTATGACACTAAATAATATATATATATATATATATATATATATACACACACACACACACACACACACACACACACTCACTCTTATATAAAACTTTTATTTTTATATTTATATAAATATATAAACATATATATTTATGTTTATGAAGATGTTAAAGGCAAATGGTGGTAGGGCCCAACGAAGATGAGCTGGTTGAGGGGACTGGCTTCTAACCGCTCTAAGTGTTAGATCAGGAGTGAAACATAAACTATAGGCTTCAATCTGAAAGCTACAGGGAAGAGGGGACTGAATACCTTCGTCTCGGAGGCTAGTTAGAAGGTGACTATAATAATCTAGGCATGAAGCCATGAGTTCCCGACCAGGTAGGAAGGAAAATGACAAAAGAGGGATGGTTGGAAACAAAGAGTCCTAACGAAGAACGGAAAGATTTGAGGGACTGTGTGGATAAAGAGGATAAAAAATAGGAACGGTGAAAAATTGTCTGGGATCAGTAACCAGGAGAATAGGGCTGTCACTAAAAGCACTAATTGGGAAGGAAGAAGGTGGACGAAGTTTAAGAAAGTATTCTGTTTTGAAGACACTGAATTTGAGGTGGGGATAGTATAACTTGGATAAAGTACCTTCTGGAAAGGGGAGAGGAGAGAGCAGATGTGAGCTCTGTAGACTGAAGATAGAAGGTTCGAAGTCATCACTCTGGGAGAAGAAATTGAAATAATAATACAGGCGTAGAGAAACCATTTAGAGAAAGAATTCAGGCACTTTGGGCTGAAAAGATTTTGGAATTTCTCAAACACATGTCACAGTTTCTGACTTAGTGGCCAACTATCAGGAAAAATTCTAAACCAAAGAATTTGGAAATACTTCAGAGATGAGATTGGACTTATACAGGGAACATATTTCTCAAACTATTTCAAGACAAACATCTAACAAGCAAAAGTCATCCTAAAATATCAAATTATCAATTTTATGGTCAGTAATGACATGAAATAAAATTCTGTGGAATTTAGTTATGTAAATAAATTATGGTTAACTAATAACCTGATTTTTAATCACTTAAAACACTATGACCAGAAAAAAAACAACCAAGGACACCAGCAGGTATGTAGGGTGTGGTATTTTTAGTGCCCCTGTCCCCCACACCACTGACAACCACAATAACAGCCATTGACATGTTTATGGTTTCCTGGGACCATAAACATTGTAAACTTTAGTGTCAAAACACCACAAAAGATTTCTCAAACTGGAAAGGTAAACTAAATGTTTTCGCAGGTTGTTTTCAACCTTCTGAGGCAGGAGAGTAAGAAGCTGGGAAAGTTCCCGGGCAAGTGGAATGGGGAAACTGAGACAGAGAGCTGAGCAAACTGGCCAAGCAATTTACAACCAGATACAGGTCCCCTCCCCAGAGATAACATCCAGGCCTCAGCTGTATGTCAGCTCCAGGCCCAGAAAAGCAGCAAAACCAGATGTGTGCCGCCAAGACCTGCTGCAATGACTAATGACCCCTGACCCTGACACGGACCAATCAGTGGAGACCACCACCCTGAAGGCGCACACCTGGAAAAGCTGATGAATATTCTATTGAAATCCTCCCCTCAACTCCCAGCCTTTAAAACCCCTCCAAACAAAGAACCAACCCAGCGTGTGCTTTTTCCCTTTCCTCTCTTCTACCCAAACTCTAAGGGACCCCAGGAGACTGGCAACCTGGGGAGCAATGGGCAGCAGCAGCTCATCCCGGGCCCCCTGGACCTGTCTCCCAGGCCCCTTTACTCTGACTTCCCAGTGAGCTGACCCCAGCCCCCTGGGCTCTCTCCTGTAGCTGCTTCTACCCTAGGCCCTCCCTGTTTCACTGTCCCCAGCTTAATAAACACACTGTCAAAACCACCTGGATTGGTGTTGTGAAATCTTTCCTGCAGGAAGTCAAGAACCCACACCCTGCCGGCCAGCAGACCCACTCAGGGCCAGGTCCCCTTTCCAGTAACACGTCTGGTGGAGAACACAAACTAAGCCTCCTTTCCACAGCTGCACAGACAGAGTTCTGAAGCTTGCCATTCATTGGGGGGAAATAATATGGCTTCTGCATGCAAATAAAAACATAACAATCAAGTCCTATCCAGTTCAAGATGTCCCCGTGATAGTAAAAAAAAAAAGGAAAATGACAGTGTTTTGCCTCCTTTCTTCTCCCTCCTGCAGTAACCCACCAAAAATAAGAGAAAAACCACATTTTCAAATAATAAAATCTAAAAGTAAGGCCTAACATTTGTTAGTAATTTGTTTAGTAATAATGGCTAACATTTATTTAAGACTTATTATGTATCTGATACTAAGGTCTTAAATATCTACCAAAAAAAAACAACAACAAAAAACATTTGTGCTAAGTTCCATTATCACCAACCCCTTTTATAAAAGGAGAAAACAAGGCCCAGAGAGGCTGACTGAGTTGCCCAAAGTTACATCCGTAGTATGAAGTGGAGCCAGGCCTCAAGTCTGAGCAGAAGGCTTTCAGTGCCTCACACTCAACCTCCATGCTGTCTGTCTCGTGTCTCAAATACATGCTCCAACACCACATGCCCTATGAACAAAAAAAAGTAAACTATTGTTGAAAGACAGTAAACACTGTCTATGACATAAGTGTTTCTTGATTATTTCAAAAATCTCCAAGAGTACCAGATACAAACAAACTAAAAGAAAATAGCAATACACACACATGAACACACGCTTTCTAAGGACAGTTTAAATTAAAAAAATATATATTCTAGTCGGTTGTAGAAAAACTTTTGACCATTTAGTGTGATTGAAGAAGAAAGAGCAAGTGATACTAACAGACAAATTGGAAACATTCACTCCTGGACAATTTTTTTTTTTTTTAAGGAAAAAAAAAAAGAACAATTCTCCTGACTCACATGTATCCCCTTTTTAAAGTCAAGTTTGGACTGAATGCAGTATTGCTTTTAAGAAAACTTCAGGAAGTATTCTACACTTCACCCTCCTAATTTTTCTCCCATTTTCCCAGATTGTGGTCTAACTCTGGCACGTGACCCCTGGTAAGCCTGACAACCCTCATTAGAAACTGATGTTTCAACCTGTATTTGTAAAGAATATATTTTAATTGAAGGCCTTCACAACAACTCGTTAACTGCATTGTTGATGCTGCCTACGTTTCTCTGGATCAAATGTTCTCGCTTGGCTAATTCTACCTGAGACATTTACGTGCTACCTTATTTCAAAACAAAGAGAAGAACATGATCCTAAAAATAGCTATTAAAAGGCAGAGAAGAAAGCAACCAAGGATGCACTGAAGAAATGCAACTGTCCACGTGATTTTATTTCCAACATGGGTAGAGGAGGGAACAGTTTTGGGATTCACTCTCCCATGATCCTGTGATAATCTAGAGTTGACAATGCAGAATACAAGCATTGGGTATGTCACATGGTTCTACTGGACCAAAGTGTCAGAATGGAGCTTAACGAGCAGGGTGCCAGAGACAGCAGTAAAAGCTTTATCACCAGCTGCCAGAGAGACTGGAAAAGGCCTCAGCCTCACCATCGTCTTATCTGTCACGAGGTCCTCGTGAACCCTTTCTTCATCACCAAGGTGGTGCGGAGAATGCTCCAGGGAACGTGGGTGGTCATGTTTCTCTCCCTGGCTGCACCCTCTTCCGTCCTGCGGCCCAATGCAATGCTAACGTCAGATCAATGAGATCAGCAAGGAGGCCGCTTTCAAACTCGGTGTCAATAAGGAGAGCGACAGAAGCCAGAAACTCAGCATTTAAATGATT